CCTAGGTTCTTCGGGATCTATGGACAGTTGTCGAGGTTCTTTATGACCTCTGTATAGGTCATTCGGGACATTTATACGAGATGTGGTGACATCATAGTGGTGCACAACCTCAATGTACTCACATACCTTAAGTTCTCAAAAGTATACATGGGTTAATACATAGACTTTCAAGAAGAGTAAATAAATCAATTGATATGATACGATGTGTGTTCGGTTGTGAACTGATATATGTGTACCATGATGTGTATAGAAATGTTTAGTATATGTTTATACGATAAAAAGAATTAGTGACATGTGTACATGAGATAATAAGAGATAACATTGAATAAAATATATGTGATATATATATGTGTTTTGATATGAATTATATGATATGATATATGTGTGTTGTGTGTTAGTGATCATTGTATATGTTATAAGATATATGATATGAACATAATGGATCATATAAACATGAGAATAGAAATATGAATGGTAATAATATGATTACAAGTTATAGTTTACAGTATATGTTTATTGCCTCACTAAGTCATAGACTTAGCGTGTGATTGTTTCACACGTAGGTTACAGAAACGAGAAGAAGAGTAAAGAGCAATGTGGAGCAAGACAGGTCAGTTCTCCTTACCGAAGTGTTGAAATATGTTTCGATATAACAAATTTAAAGGCAAAATGTTTTTGGACTTGAATTGAATTTATTCAAAGTTTTCAAAAGGTTTCAAAAATAATTCAAAGTTCATTAAAATCAGATTTTAGCAAGAAAAACCAGATTGCCCAGAGGGAACAGATTCCCCCCAGGGGGTATCGATTCCCCGGGAACAGATTCTCCCCAGGGGTATCAATTCCCCGGGTACATATTCCCCCTGCATGGTTTGGCTCCGAGAAATAACAAATTACTCGGAGGGAACCGATTCCCCCCTTGAGGGTACCGATTCCCTCATTGTTCATCAGCCCAACAGTCATAATATTTGAATATTATGAAGGGGTATCGATTCCCTATGAAGGGTTACCGATTCCCCCCATTCTGGGCAGCCTATTTTTGCAGAAAAATCATTCCCAAAAGGCTCCAAAACATCCCCAACGGCTAGATATGACTTCAAACACATTCCAAGCTATAAATACAAGCTAAGGACACTTGAAGAAGTAAGAGAACAACTATCCAAACAATCAAAATACAAGAGAAGAGTTTTTCATTCTTATTTCATATATCTCTTGTATATATTTTGTTCTTGTGAGCTCAATCTTGTAAACACCTACCTTAGAGAGGTTTTCTTGTTTACATCTTTTATCCTTTTGTAAAGGGGAAAGGTTTTAGCTAATCCTGTGTAAAATCTAGGGAAAGGTTCTAGTTTAGCCCAAAAAACTATGAAGTTTGTAAGGTTACTCTTTATCCTCAAAAGAAAGAACAAATTAGTGAATTTGTTGGAAAATCCTTGGTGAGGAGCTAAGGTAGTAGACGTAGACTTTGATTGAGAAAGTCGAACCACTATAAATCGATGTGCAATTCTCTATCTTTCAATCTCCTTACTCCCTAAACACAAAACCGTTCCGACCCCTCTTTGCAAATCGTTCCGGTTGTCAATTCGAGATTCCGAAAATCCTAACAATTGGTATTAGAGCCTAACTCGTTAAGAAGGTTTAACCACCTTGAGACGATCCTAGAAGAAGCTCTACCAATTCCCTATACAACTGAGAAGATGGCTTCCACCTCCGGCTCGTTCCACATGGAAGACTCCCTACCAACGGACAATCCTCCATACTTCAATGGAGACAACTATCGTCATTGGAAGAAATTAATGAAGGTATTCATCCAATCCAATGATCTTGATGTATGGGAGATAATCGAGAATGACTACTCTTCTCCAAAGAAGAAGGAGAAGAAGCGGAGTGACAAAGAACGGAAGAAAGCTCAACTTAATGCCAAGGCCATGCACATGTTGTTTTGTGCATTTGGTCCTGAAATCTATGAAGGGGTTTCTTCATGTTCAAGTGCCAAGGAGCATTGGAATAAGCTCGAGGAAATCCATGGAAACAAGAAAGAAGAACCAACAAAGGTAGTGTCTCTAATGGCTTATGAAGAGCCCGAGGTATCTTCTAACTCAAATGAATTTAATTCATATACATTTGATGAGTTACAAGATGCTTTTAATAGGCTATATTCTACGTTTGAGACCATGAACTCCAAATATAAGAAAATGATTTCAAAATTTAAAATTGAAAACGATTTTCTTTTGAAAACAAAATTAGATTTTGAAAGCCAAAATGAAATTTTGAAAAAGGATTTAGAGCTTTCAAAAATAAAAATTGATAGTTTTGAAAAACAAAATTTTGATTTAAAAGTTAAGCTTGAATGCTTAACAAAAGAAAAAGAAATCATTTTAAATAATTCATTTAGTTCAATAATGACAATATGCTCACATTGTCATTATCATGGTCATTTGGAACATACTTATCCTTTGAAGAAAGGAAAACATTTTAAAATTAGGCAAGTATGGGTTCCAAAAGGAACAAGGGGCATTGAAACTAACGTCCAAGGATCCAAAGCAATTTGGATACCAAAATCTACTTAAATGTCTCTTGTAGGTGTGTGGGAGCAATGGTGATGAGAGTGATGATATTCAAGATGCTCTAGCTACACATGAAAAAGGAATGGGTAACCTCTAAGCTTAATGCTTTTAATTTTGGTTATTTGGTTGCTTATTTGATTTTAAACATGCATGAGTTTTGTTTTTAAATGATTATGCATCATTGTTTTAATCTCATGTATGTTGAAAAGATGATTATGATGAACATTTTAAAGTTATATATTTTTAAGAATTTTAGTTCATCATAATAAAATTTTGGTCAAAATTGGTTTTAAATGCAAATGATATCTCTCTAACAATTGATATTAAATTTTCAAATGTTTTGAATTTACAAATTTTAAATTTTTGACCTAAATTTAAATGATTATGCGTATGGTTTAAATGAAAATGATATTTCTCTAACAATTGATATCAAAATTTTCAAAATGCATAACATTTTTGGGAACTTTATGCAAATGCACTTAATTTTAAACAATTGGTATTAATATCAAATTTCAACAATTGGTATTGCATAAAGTATTTTAGACTTGGATATATTGAATTTCATGTGCTACTAACATGTTTTTTATTCTTTGTTGAAATTCAATTTTGTTTAAGTGTCAAGTTCTTAAAGCTAAATTTTATTTGGAATGCATTTATTGAGGGGGAGTTTTTGATTTTTTAAATAAATTTTTAAATGTCAAATTTACCACTTACTCTCCAATGTTATTTTAGAACTTTAAAAGATTGAATTATTTTTGATATAACAAAAAGGGGGAGAAGTTTGGTTGTTTTAAAAATTCAATTTCTTAATGAAAAAGGGGGAGCTTAACATTTTCATATATTTTTAAACAATTGGTATCTTTTTCATTAAACATTTTATTAAGGGGGAGTTTTGCCAAAAATAATTTTTCAAATGTTTTGTTATATCAAAAAGGGGGAGATTGTTGAAATATGTTTTGATATAACAAATTTAAAGGCAAAATGTTTTTGGACTTGAATTGAATTTATTCAATGTTTTCAAAAGGTTTCAAAAATAATTCAAAGTTCATTAAAATCGGATTTTAGCAAGAAAAACCAGATTGCCCAGAGGGAACAGATTCCCCCCAGGGGGTATCGATTCCCCGGGAACAGATTCCCCTCAGGGGTATCGATTCCCCGGGTACAGATTCCCCCTGCATGGTTTGGCTTCGAGAAATAACAAATTACTCGAAGGGAATCGATTCCCCCCTTGAGGGTACCGATTCCCTCACTGTTCATCAGCCCAACGGTCATAATTTTTGAATATTATGAAGGGGTATCGATTCCCTATGAAGGGGTACCGATTCCCCCCATTTTGGGCAGCCTATTTTTGCAGAAAAATCATTCCCAAACGGCTCCAAAACATCCCCAACGGCTAGATATGACTTCAAACACATTGCAAGCTATAAATACAAGCTAATGACACTTGAAGAAGTAAGAGAACAACTATCCAAGCAATCAAACACAAGAGAAGAGTTTTTCATTCTTATTTCATCTTTCTCTTGTATATATTTTGTTCTTGTGAGCTCAATCATGTAAACACCTACCTTAGAGAGGTTTTCTTGTTTACATCTTTTATCCTTTTGTAAAGGGGAAAGGTTCTAGATAATCCCGTGTAAAAGCTAGGGAAATATTCTAGTTTAACCCGGAAAAACTAGGGAGTTTGTAAGGTTACTCTTTATCCTCAAAAGAAAGAACAAATTAGTGAATTTGTTGGAAAATCCTTGGTGAGGAGCTAAGGTAGTGGACGTAGACTTTGATTGAGAAAGCCAAACCACTATAAATCGCTGTGCAATTCTCTATCTTTCAATCTCCTTACTCCCTAAACACAAAACCGTTCCGACCCCTCTTTGCAAATCGTTCCGGTTGTCAATTCGAGCTTCCAAAAATCCTAACACGAAGGTCAGATCAGAAGAGAGGTGAATAATATGTATTTTAATATATAAAGTTCTAGTTGGCATGTACTCAAAAGAATATAGTGTATAAGCTCTGAATAGTTCTGTAAACGTTTTGAATAAGTTATATATTATAAAAATGTTAAATTTACTCACTATTTTATACAAGTAAATGTTTTGAAAAGTCAATGTGACACCTCGGACTCGGATCTGGGTTGGATACGGGTTGGGGGTGTTATAATATTGTAAGTTTTAAAAGTTGGGGGACCTAAATGCAAGCGTTTGGAAAATTTAGTGACCATATTGCAAACGACATCAAACGGTCGGTTACGTCAGAGACCATATTGCAAACAAACTAAATATTAGAGACTGTATTACAAGTTTTAAAAGTTAGTAGACCTAAATGTAAACTTTAGAAAAATTCAGTGACCATTACTATACTTTACTCTTAAAAGAAATAGCTAAAAATAGAAGAAACCAAAAATATGGATGCCCTTATCATGAAAACTTAATATAAACAATACCACAAATTTCAACAACGCCAACAGAGTATTTCACATCTTAAACGCCAATTTCAAAATTTTCCCTTTGAATTTCCGATCTCCGCAGAGAGCTCAATATTTTAGGTACCCAGTCTTTTTCAATTTCCCCTGTTCTTTCCTTTTAATACGAATTTGTTCTCATTTATTCGCTGATTATTTGTAAAACAATTATTATTAGCACCTAGGTTTTTTTTTAATTTAGGCTTGTTTTTAATTAGTTAGAGAATATATTTTGGTTTGATTAACTGATAGGTATGGGTTTCATAGGTTCTTAATTAAATTTTCTAGCTCAAGTAAGGATCTCCTTTTAGGTGCGTCAAATTAATTAAATTTAATGCTTTGTATTTGTTATCAATATGTATATGTATGCATTTTATGGATTTGAAGGGTTTTCCCCCCTTTGAATATGAATTTCTGTGTCGAACTCCTTTAATCATTATTCGGTGCTCATGCACTAGGAGTTGCCCAATACCTTTTTGGTTATGATAATAATTGGTATTAAGTAGATATGGATATTCTCTTGGAGCTGTATTTACTTGCATCATAGTCTTCTGGACGATGCTTTCCTCAGGTTTGTGAAGATTTCATAATTTTTATTCTACACTGGAAACCTCATTTATTTAATGAGAACAACCGAATAAGTGTTTTTTCTATTCTTTTATGCTGGTGCCTGCAATCTGGCTAAGGTTTAGCATTACTTAAGTTTTATGCAGATTATTTGTGTGCCACCGTAGGTGCTATTGGTTGGGTGGTTACAAGTAGCTAATCTCAGGCATGGAGGATGCCAATGAGCAGAAACAAGTAGATGACAATGTTGCACAGGTGCCTGAACATTCTGTGCCACCACCATCTGAAGTGGAGGTTCTGTTCTTCATTGTGGAATGTTGATTGATCAAATATCTAAGCCATGTACTGGATTACATATTTTCTGAAGAGTTCTATAGTTGCAATGATTTACTTATTTCTTTATGTATCTATTTTAGGCAGCTATGAAGAAAAAATATGGAGGGATTATGCCCAAGAAACCGCCACTCATATCTAAGGTAATTTCTTGGAAAATTGAAAAGTTTTGGTTTTCTCTGGCTTGTGCAATTTCTCATTTATGTTTTCCGTTTTTTATCTCAGGACCATGAACGTGCCTATTTTGATTCTGCTGATTGGGCACTTGGAAAGGCACTTTAATGATTCCCACTCCCCCTATGAATCTGACCTTTTTCTACTGTGGTTTTGTTATTTTAGCTAAGCAATGCTAATGATTCCAGATTAAACTGAAGTTTTTAATATCATTTGATTTTTTGGATGCTAACAGCAAGGTGTTGACAAGCCCAAAGGACCACTTCAAGCCCTCCGTCCCAAATTGCAGGTATTAATTCTATGCCAAAGTTATGTGACTAAAGGCCTGACTGTGATTAGTCCAAAGTTATGTTACTTGGACTCAGGTGTAAGTATCAAATACAAGTGTATCCCACACAGGTATGACTAGAGGAAGAAAGGTTCTAAGTCCAATGTGGCTTGGAGATACCCTGGATTTACACCGAAAGCATGCATTTTAAGATTTGTAGTGAATGCCTATGATTAGGGGAGAGAAACCCAGTGGCTAGTGCTGGAAGATGGGTTTGTTCAAGGAAAGCTTAAAGCAATTTGGTCCACATGTTTAGGATTCTCTAACTGGTCCCAAGTTAAAATCAATCTGATGTATTTTAGTCAGCCTCTTTAATTTGGTCACTCATAGGCCTCATAATTGTTTCAAAGTGACTAGAACTGTTATATGATATATCCAGAATAATGTTGTAATGAAGTTTGTAATTTCAAACCCTTCACTTTTAGGAGATAGAAAAATAAAAGGGTTTGAGGATGGTATGTTGGTAATGGACTCATAGATTACCTTTTCTTCCCGTTCATTCTTTTCCCGATGTGTGTTCTGGAAGTGTACCGATGATAACTTATATTAAGTCCATCTTCTTGTTCTGCGAGTTAATGTCTTTTCACACTATTGTTTAGTACTCTTATGCTGCCTATGATTATTTTTGCTCTGTTTTCAGCCCACACAACAACAAACACGATATAGGAAGTCGCCTTGTGCTCCATCAGACGGTGAAGGTATGCCGAGTTATTGACATAGCAAACTCCTAGTGATTAATGTTCTTATTGCATCAACGTTCCTTTTTTTTTCTGCATCAACGTTCCTTTTTTTTCTTTCTTTTTTGGTGCTTAAATCAAATTCTATTAATCATGCCATCATGTAGATGAAGGGAGTGCTCAACCAGAGGGTGGGACTGCCAATGAATGAAACTGCCCTTAATCTTCCGATCTTGTGAGGACTATTGATTGTTATTCAAATACCTAGATGATTGGTAATGAATAGTTTTCAACTGTTTCCATGAATAAAACTCGGTGAAAGATGTTCCGATTTTAGTTAAGTTCGACAAGTTACAACATTTATGCAGTTTGAGAGTTGTGGGAACTGAAAAGTCTGTTGTTCCAAGGTTTTTCCAACATGGAACAATATTCTTCATGTTATTCAAATCGTTTGCTTCTATTTTAGGTTTTTCTATCGAAAGTGAGCCAGTCATTTCATTTACATAACATTTTAAATGGTACGTTTTTTTTAATTTGGTTTCCTTGTATAATAATATTCTAAATAGTTTTATTATATATTTGGTACCTGAACTAGGCACCTTCCAAAGTTGGTACTTAAAGACTTTTGCACCAAAAGTGGTATTTGAACTAAACATCTTTCAAGTTGGTATTTAAAGAATTTTTGCTCCCATGTTGGTATTTGAATTTTAATTGCATTAACTGTTTTAGTATTTTCTATTAACAATGTTAAGCTTTTGATGATGTGTTGTTAGTATATGATTGTATCACGTATTAATGATGATGTTATCATGTATTTTTTTTAAATTATAAAAATTTATTAAAAGTTCAAAAAATAGAAAAAACTTGAAATATGTTTTTAATAAAAACAAGCTAAAAAATTCAAATCCCATAAACTTAACGTCTAAAACATTTAAAGTTTCATTACTCATATGAATCTTAAATTTCTAAAAGTAAGAGTCTAAGATTGAAGTTGTGCAATAGAATATTGTTGTAATGAAGTATGATTATATAATTGTTGTCGTATCAATTAGAAAACTTATTTCAGTAGTAAAATATAATTATTGTGCTGGTGAGGCATTGCCTGAAAGTAAATTTGTCAAGATTGCATCAAAGCTTGGGATTGTAACTCCACTAGGACGAGTCTACCCTAGATCTCAATCCGACAATCCTGGTCCTACCCGTGTTAAGCCCCAGCGTACTAGATACCCGAATCATGTTACATTCTCACTACAATTGTTTGAAAAGATAGACCCGGAGTCTAATAACGTAGAATTATGGACTGAAAACAAAGAAAATATACATGAGAACAAATTTGTGACAGACCAAGATAAACCTCTACACTGCTTCCTAGACCTGGAACTGTCACCTCACGCTGAGTTATTGTGATCACCCCCTAAAACTATGCTAGAGATCCAGATAGTCTCTCCCAAAGTGTTCCAAAGGTCCACAGCCAGATATAAAGATGTCAATTTAAGTGCTGCAAGTAAAAAGGCCATTATATAACAATACATTTCACCCAAGACATAAGTACTCCAACCCTGCATTCACTTGAAAATATCAAAAGCATGAACAAATCCTTGATCACCATGGATGGCAATTTCTCAAGATGGAAAAGCTGCATATATGTTTATCAAAGAAAAACTTCTTAAAATTTCGTATCTGTTTTGGCTGGCAAGGTCAGTGAAAGCATCACAAAAGCATACATATTGCCATCGAACTGATTCTTTTGTATAAAATGTGTACATGCTGGAGTAGAGGGGATGGTTGCCGGATGGATGTCCAAGTGCCATCTTTTCCATACCCATGGCAGGAATGGGATTATTTGGAACATCTAAAGCAGAGCACTTACGCAAATGGCAGCTTCCCCAATCAATGTGCAAGAGCAATTGAAGGGGCAATGGAAGATGAAGCTAAACAATTCATAGTTCATGCCTGGAGTTTCATATGCATTTTATGTAGTTGACCAAATGCTTATGGCATGAGAAATGTGTTGACCATATGAGCCAAATAAAACACAATCATATCATCCACTTAAAGGTGAGTTGTAACCATTATTGTCCTGCATCAAAATAGACAAAACTTTGATCAAAGGTGGGGAAAGGCATTGAGCTGAATAAAAAGATTCATTAATTAGCTGACCCTATTCCCATATGTAATGGGGTGAGGGGGAGATAGGATAGTAGGCTCCCAACGCCAGGTTGAGAGCAGCTTCTATAGAAGACCTCCGGCAGTCAGAATTATGAATTGCCCACCGTGGACTAGATCCCACGACCACAAGGTTAAGAGCCTTGCGCTCTACCCGGCCTCTTTATTGGCATGCAATATGTGTCAAATGTATCAACTAAATTAAACAATTAACAGGTAGATATAATCTAAACCCGGCCTCTTTAAATTAAAGCAAATGAGAAAAACGGAATATTATAACAAATATTAGGCACCGGTCATAGTCGACATGTTTTCCTTCACTAATATATATAATCGAGAATTATAGATGCCAAATAAAACACATACAGTGAACCATATAGATGCCAATGCACATATAACAGCAGCAACATAAAACTATTTGGAACCAAAAGTCAAAATCCAATCATAAGGACACTCTACGGAAACTGAAATGCGACAATTTTTTTGTGGGATGCTGTAACATACTTACTGCAAATCCTGTGGTTCACTCTCTTTGGCTTTCTTGTACCGAGCTTTATGCTCAAGATACTCTTCCAGCTCTTTCTCCAACTTCTCAATGAATTCACTTGTATGATCAAGGGATTGTTCGTACTTGTATTTTTCCAAAGCCTGAAATATTCAAACAGGAAAAGCTAATATTATATTGACATCATGCATTCAAATAAAAGACTAATTAACTGTTTGCACGCATTAGGAAACATAAGAGCTCCATGCACCGATGCAAGCACAGATGAAAGGGAACAACAGAAATCACTCAGAACACCACCAACTAACTCTAAAAGAGGAATCTTTAGAAAACTTCTGATAAAGCAACAAACAAATTATTAAAGAAAGCCGAGAACTATTACTTTGCTTTTAGATAGGGTATCTGCCGAGACATAGTTTTCGGCTGCACATAATTCTTTCCTCGGTAAAAAATTATAGAATTGTTAGGCTTGATGTCAATCACAATGCCTTTGCTAAGTCGAGCAAGTTCTTCAGCATATTCCTGAACCTGTCCTGGTTTACAAGGCTTGCAAGTGACCTTCACAGTTTCATGTTTCTTCCAATGCAGGTGCATATTGAGAACAACACCTCCGAATACTCCTCTTCTCCCAACTTGAACATAATTCTTTTTCTTCTCGCCAGTACGCTTTAGATAGTGTTTCTCTTCCTCAGTTAAAATTTCAGGATCATATGCTTCAGCTGGGGCCTTGGGAATCTCGAATTTTCTCAGTTTTTCAACCAACCATGCTTCTTTTCTTTTGGCCTGATGTATTTACAAAGATAACAATCAAATTAATGGCTTTTAGGGAAAAAAATCAGAAAATTAAACTCAGATTGAAAAAAAAAATCTCCACATGCTAGGCATTACAATCACAACATTCCCTTGTACTAGTGACTACTAAGAAAGCTCACGTCCACAAAAAGTTAACCAAAATGTAAACTATAGTTAAAATGAGAAGCTATCTGACCTTTTCGAGTTTATATCTAATCCTAACTTCGGGATTTGGTGAATTCATCTTCTTTTTAGCCTTTAAACGATAGAAACGCAGTTCATTGACTTTTGCCCTTTTAGACATTTTTCTTTTTCTGTTTGTATAAAGATATCTACCCGGTGGCTTATGAAGAGAAAACCTGATAACATTCTCATCCGTCTTTAGCTCAATTGATGCATTACTCAAATATCTTGCATGCAACCATTTGCAAAGAATGTTGTGATGCTGAAATACGTTCGGCTTCACCAGCAACGAAAAATCAAAAGGAAAGGCTACATATGGTGCATGTAATGAATCCCTCATAACACTGTAGCTTCTCTGGTTTGCAAATGTGACGCAATTAAGGCATTGTCTAGACCAAAAGGACTCATTTTGGATAAAACAACAGAACTTGAGTAAATAATCCCTGCAATAAAAGGAAAAATAATCTGTCAATTTTGACAGATTAGAGCTCACAATATCTATTTGAGAAAAATATATGCTACTAGAGAGTAGAGACATTTATTTTCCTTAGCAGACACAAACTACATGTTTCATTATAGTCCATCTTCTATATCTATTGATTGTTGTTATAGGAGTAGTTTCAAAATCCTCTCTTCCGCCTCTGAATTGCAGCAAATCTCATGAAAACTTGGCATTCAAATTATCTAACACTAAATATAAATATTCACAAAATCATATGAAAAAAAAAACTGAAAAATTAAAAGAAAACATAATAAAAATGAGCAAGATTAAGGCAAAAATAAAAATAAGTAATAAAAAAATTTCCATTAAATTCACATATTTCTCAGAATGCATGAAACTAAATTAAAACTCAAAATAAAATAGAGCAAACCTTTTGACAGAGAATGTAAATTGCCGGCTAATCTGTCGAATTGAAGTCATAACTGCCATTATTATCAAACGAAATCGAATTTGTAATATATAATTTTTATACAAAGCCCTAAGAGTTCAGAGAATCAGATGATTCTAATCGTTTTTCTTAGAAGCGAACACGTTCAACAATGGGGGTCGATTCCATCTATTACGAGTCAAGAGATTACAGAAACTTCGAGTCTCCAGAAATCCACCGTCGACAAAGGCAATCAAGAAAAGATAGGAATCCAAGAAAAAAATGTAACGGTTCAAACAGAAAACTAAAGAAAATAGCAGAAAAACTAACAGAGAAAGCTAGAAGAAATAGAAAGATTAGAGAGCAGAAGAAAAACAGAAGGAAACGGTTAAGAAAGAACAGAAAACTCACAAAATTTCATTCCACAATCCTGATCTGTCCAAATTCTCAGTCATTTGGGGGTTTAACCTAAATAGAAAATGACCATTAAACCCTTGCTCCTAATATGAGAAAAAAAGCGCTTCGTTAAAATATGTACCCAAGTGAAAATAAATAAATAAAAATCATTATTATAATTATTGTTAAATATATAATATTTAATTATAATATTATATTAGATCAGACTTTTCACCTTAGACTGAAACTTAATTCAAATTGAGATCGGATTTAATTGTAATTCATCTCTATATTATCTTCGAAATTTATATCTTTATAATCAATATAATAAATGTATGTATATTTTTAAGTTACGATATAATAGTATCATTATTATGTATATTTTGGAAACACTAAATTACGAGTCATTTAGTGTGTAATTTATTTTTTATGTACAAATTCGAGTTCTAAACAGGGGATTACTGATTGAAAAGGCACACTAAGATACTTTTCCCTTTTAATAGTGACGTGTACATAAAAAAATTAG